GGGGGGGGATAAAAAGGGGAGGCAAGAAAGTTTTCTTTTGAGGAAGAAGTGAGTGAGAGACAGGTCAGTAAACATTGGAGAAGTGAATAGAAAAATATAAGGTCTGTTAATGGTGGAGAAGTGATTGAAAGATAAACAGTATGTAAATGATTGAGGAGTGGGTGAGAGATAATAGAATAGTCTTTTAATGGTGGGGAGGTGAATAAGAGAAACTCTAAAGATTTCTTATAGGCCGTGAGATTGCAAGGATAGGCATAAGTTTTATTATTTGTAGAAAAGAATGTACGTGGGAGTGATTTTTGTTGTTTGTTTTGTTGCTGTTGTTTTTCTGTTTTGTTTTATTGGTTGTGAGAAGAGGAGGAAAAATTAACGGTTTCTTACTTGGTGTGAGCTTCATACTGATTGTCACATTCTTCCCTCTCTCGAACTTGCACGGGATTTGGGGGCATGGGGTGACGTCAACGCTGTTGATAGCGGCGAGCTTGGAACCTGCAGAGACCAGGAAGTTCATAAGGCTGTTAGTTTAAAATAATAGCTTGTTTTGTTTTGTTACGTCGTTATGTTTGGGTTTTTATTTTGTTTTGGTTTGGGTTGTGTGTGTGTGTGTGTGTGTGTGTGTGTGTGTGTGTGTGTGTGTGTGTGTTGTTTGTGTTTTGTTTTTATTTTTTAGGGGGGGGTGAAGCATTGATGTATGTGGATGCTAGAGCTGAACTAAAAATAAAGGTCACATTAAGAAGACTGGGAGCTTTCGGAAAGTTTTTCTCTGAGGAGAATGCTCAAAATCACCTGGACAGAGAGGAAAACAAACACAAGTTCTCCAAAATGGTAGGATGTGAAAGGCCTCTAGTCAGAGGCATCGGGGAGGAACAACTGGGATTTGTTAGCCCGGCAATTAGAACACAATATGAACTTGAGAAATTGCTATTGTGAGGAAAGACCGAGGAAAATAAGAGCACAAAAAGACAGAGAACGGTATGCATGTTACACTGATGGTTTGAACAGCTTCATGACAAACAATTAATTATAGTGACGCATCGTGGTGAAATCAGGCGCTCGTCAAAATAGCAAAATTGGAGAAACAGGCATTTTCCCACCAGTTTCGCACTTTTAGTCAAATTTTTGTTTGTTGTTCAACCTTTTTATGACCAAATAAAAACACATTTCCATGTGAATTATAATGAAAAACTTTGATTAAAAGCTCAAAATATGTAATTGTTCAGTTTTCAAGGACTCTTTGAGCTAGTGAAGTTACCAAACTTTGGCGGCCATTTTCTCGCTATTTTTACCGCTGAAAACAAGTGAACTTACCTCTTTCAATCACAAATATCTTCACCTCTGTTCAAGATAGATGGGTTTTTTTTCCGTCAAAAGCAAGATAAATGAACAAGCTTTAATATGATACCAATAGCTCCACGTTTACAAAAATTGACGAGAGCCTGATTCCACCGCGTCGTGACACCACATAATCAGAACGAATAAACAGATCAGGACTGACAACAGGAAGGAAGGAGTACCATGATCGACAAAGTGCGGTACCTGAAGAAGAAAACGTTTGGTGTACTGGTGTACTGGTTTTACCTCTGGTCATGCTATTGCGGACAGGGGAGGTGGGGGGGGGGGGGGGGAGAGAGAGAAAGAGAGAGAGGGGGAGGAAGGGAGGGGGGGGGTATGTATGATCGTTGGTAGCGTTGGATTGGGTTGACGAGGGGATCTCTTTTGTTCATTGGTAGTGTTGGGGCAGGATGGGGTGTGTTTTCGTGTTTTATTGTTAGTTTTACATATACATGTATAGTTGTCTTGAGTCTTGCTTTATATGGGGTAGGGGAAAAAGGGGTCGGAGTAATTTATTTAATACGTTAGTTTTATCCGTTCTCTTTACGTATAACCTTAATAACCTACTTTTATGAACAGTTTGATTGAGTTTAATTGAGTAGGTGTTTTACGGTGCTATCGACTCAGTTTAAAGAGTACAATGTAGTAAAAAAAATGTACCCCTACTTACTCAACAGTTTTGCACGTTGAATGAGTTGACATTAGGGTTATCTCTACCCCCCCCCCCTTCCCCAACACAGCGCGACAGCGAGTCATGGGGTGCTTGCTATTGTATCCCATCCCATCCTATTAGGATTCCTTCATAGTTTGGCTGCTTTTGGTGGATTGTAAGCGTGGTTTAAAATTTGTTGTTCTCGTTTTTCTTTCATTCTAAAAATAAGAGTTCGTTTTCTTTTATTTCCTTAATTTCATCTTTCATTTAAAAAATTTTTTGGGAAGGGGAAGGGGTAATATTGTTTGTTTAATTTGTTTTGGCCTTTTATTGCTAAACTGCCAGTGCACTCGCTACCAAGTTGCTGAGATTTGGTGTTAGTCTATACCATGGTGCCAGTCAAAGCTATTGTGGAACGTAGATATACATGTACACACAAACACACACACACACACGTGTACACACACATACATCATACACATGCACGCATGCACGCACACGCGCGCACGCACACACACACACACACACACACACACACATACACACACACACATACACACACGCATCACACAGATACGCAAACATCAAACACAGATAAACACACATATACACACATCACACACACACACACACACACACACACACACACACACACACACACACACACACACACATCACACAAACACACACACACACACACACACACACACACACACAGATACACACATATACGCACATCAC